GCGGGAGGGAGGCCGCCGCCTCGGAGTCCCGGCCTCGCGCTCCCGCCCCGCCGTCCTGTCGTCGCCTCTGCCCGTTTCTGTGTTCACGCGCTTGGAGCCGAGGGTTGCCTCCCGACCAGAACACCTGGCCCCCGAGGTTGGGCCGAGCCCCGAGGCCGCTATGTGTAGCCGGCACCCCGGAGCCGCCGTGGGCATCAGCTCACCCAGGCCTCACAGGTGACACCTGGGGAGCTCGACCCCGCGGGCGGGCCGCTTACTCTCCCTTCTCCTGCCTCCCTTCGAACAAGCCCCTGCTCCTTCCTCGGCCTCTGATTTCCTCTTCTCGGCCAGACCATTCATTCCCTGGATCGCTAGGGTGGTGCTGGGGTGGCGCCACCTGGATGCATGACTGACCCATCCTGCGGGTGCTGCCAGTCCTTTCTGGGCCAGAAAACAAGCATGTGCATGCCTCAGACCTGAGTTTGAATCTCGGCTCTGCCACTCAGTAGCATGTGACCTTGGGCTAGTTAGTTGCTCTTGGAATCTGGGTTTCCTGTCAGTAAAATCGGGTAATACTTGTAGGGTGGTTGTGATCATGCCTGTAGATTAATTCAAGTAAAGCATCCTTAACACAGTGTCTGCTACATGGTAAATGCTCAGTAAGTGATGCCAGATAGAGTGCTTTGGGGAGTTGGGCAAGACATCATGGAAGAAGATGCATTTGGCCGGATATTCAGAGAATGAGAATGACGGTACCTGGAGATAGGGGAGTGATGGTTACTCGACATGGAGGAAAAGAGGGGAACAGAGGCATGGAACACATTGGGGTACTAGACCAGGAATTTGGTGGAGTCCAAAGTCAGACCCCACCATCCACCAGCAGAAGCTCTGATCTGTTAAAATAAGGGCTGACAAACATGGCCTGCAGATCCCACCTTGCTTTATATGGCTTGTGAGCTAGAAATGCGTTTTCCTTTTTTAAAAAAGTTTTATTAATATATAACTCATATGCCATAAAACTCATTCATTTAAAGTGTATAATTCAATGCTTTTAGTATATTCATAGTTGTAATATGTGGGCCAGTGTGACTGGCTTCTTTCACTTAATGTCTTAGTTTTTCACATTTTTAAGTGTCTGAAAAAAGAGAGAGTTCATGATACCTGAAAATCATGATATTCGAATTTCAATGTCTATGAATAAAGTTTTATTGGAATACATCCCTGCTCATTTATTTGCATATTGTCTATAGCTGCTTTGGAGCGACAAAGGCAGAACTGAGTAGTTGCACCAGAGATTGTATGGCAGGAAAGTCTGAAATATTTACATCCTGGTCCTATACAGAAAGTTGGCCACCTCTGTTAGCACGCCTTTATTACCCTTTTCTTTCATCCTCATCCTTTGTCACACCTGTTAGTAGAGATGGGGCAGGGCTGGCAGTTTTGTTTGTCACCTTTTTCTCCTGTTAGGCAAAACTGTCTCCAAGCTGCAACTGAGGCCTCTTTTATGTGAAAAACTATTTACGGTTTACGGCCAGAAAAATCAAATGTACTCTTAGGTGCATTAATTTATAGAGTATCTAGAAGGAGGGAGGGGGTGAGTTCTGCTCTGCCACACGGGAGGCAGAGCATACGAGCAGTAGTGTTCAGAACCTCCCTTTCAAAAGGACAGAACTCCTCCCCTCAAAAAAGAAAAAAACAAACAAACAAGAAAGGAAGGAAGGAAGGAAGGAAAGAAAGAACGAACCAGAAGGAAAGATCCAAGCAAAGTGTATAGAGTGAAAAAGTCCAAGGAGCTTGGGGTGCAAAAGTCCAAGGAGACGGGAAGCCACTGGTGACGAGGACCCCTTTCATGTCTGTGTGAAGGGCCTCTAGGAAGAGAGTAGACAAGTGAGGCTTGTGTTTAAGCTAATGGTCCAGAAAGGTTCAGGGCTCCTGGCCTTTATCTATTTGTAGTTAGTGTAGGCAGTGGAAGCTTGAGAGCAGTAGCCAGCCCTCACCTTTCCTCATCTCTCAACCTGGGGAGTTCATTTAACATCAACCTAGTCTGACCTACCCCAGTCTGTTAGTTCTGTAGGACTCTCTGTGTCTTTCTGACACTTGTTACTTTCAGACAGAGAAAGGACTGCACAAATGCCTGGTCCCTGCCAGGAGCTGGTCAGGAGGCTTATTGTTTGCTGTGGACGGAACTGTGGGTATACAGTGGGATCTGCCTGCCTGGTGTCTAGTGCTGTTACCAGCTTGCAGAGGATAATTCTGGTAATGCTTCCTGGGTTGGTGAAGCCATGGTTTCTAAAACTGGATATGTAGGTGTGGGGCAGCTGCCTCAAAGAGCTGGCATGCCACATTCAGTCTAGAGCTCAGGCCTCAGGATGTATGAGATCCATGATGACATGCTCACAAAGTTCTGAGAAGGTTCCAGAGGATTGTTCCCCTCAATTGGCAGCACAGAAATGCCTCCGGAGTAAGCAAGCACTTTTCTTCCTGGAGCTACCGGACTACCGAACCACGTGTCTAAGCATCCCTACCCTAGGTACCAACTTTAGGGCAAGTCTTTTCTTTTCAGCCTAGAGAAGTGAGTTGGGCCAGTAGAAAAAAAAGGAGAGGTCCCTTTAAGTCCATCTCTTAAATCTCTCGGGGGCAATGAAGGACTTTCCTAGCTGGCTGGCTTTCTCTGGCCCTCCAGGTCAAGGGCAGTTTCTGGCCTCTGTGCTGAACAATACAGCAATCGATTGGTTCCAGTGTTTCCCCTGTTGCAGGCTCTCAGTCTGAGTCTATTTCTCTTTCCCCAGAGGCCGTGAACTAGAAAGGGAGCTCTCCCTTTGAGTCCGAACCTGAGATATTTGATAAGGCTTCCGCTTGACTGAGAAGGAGGTTGCTTTTAACTATATGAGTATGTTGTGAAGAGGGATGGCTATCTTCTAAAGCTTCCTTTTAAGGCTCTTCTAGTTGGTGTTGGAAAAGTAGGCCAACATAAAGGTCTGTGACTGACAAATTCCCGGGCCTGGAAATATCTCTCATCAGTATATTCCTGCTTCCTGGAACCCTAAGGGCTTTCTGGATCTCTTGGGAAGCACTGGGTTATGTCTTGCCTTTCCAGAAAGCCATTGATCTGGTGACAAAAGCCACAGAAGAGGATAAAGCCAAGAATTACGAGGAGGCGCTCCGGCTCTACCAGCATGCCGTGGAGTATTTCCTGCATGCTATCAAGTGTGAGTCACACCCGGGGCCCTCCCTGGCCGCCGAGCTCCTGCGGGAGGAGGGAGGGCACACGGGGGCTCACGGGGGCCCCGACGTGGTTGCCCTTTTGTAGATGAGGCACACAGCGACAAAGCCAAGGAAAGCATTCGAGCCAAGTGCATGCAGTACCTAGACCGGGCGGAGAAGCTGAAGGATTATTTACGAAACAAAGAGAAGCATGGCAAGAAGCCAGTCAAAGAGAATCAGAGTGAGAGCAAGGGGTGAGTACAGAGGAGTGGAGGACCCAGCCGGGACCAGAGCCCCCACGAGCTGGTGTCCTTTTCCTGTGTCACTGTCATCTTGGTGCTGATGCTGCCTTGGATTCCACGGCACTTCCTTTTGGGGAATTCTACTCACAATAGTGACAATGCCTGTAGCTGCTTTTGTCAGACACTCTACAGATACTTCCACATATGCTGTCTCACTGGATCTGTATGGAAAAGCTGTGGGCAAGGTGGGGAGCCAGCCGTTGACTCTCAGGTTCCAACCCAGCTCAGCTTCTTCCTGGCCATGTGACCTTGGGCAGGTGCCATGACTCTACTGGACCTTCACGTTGGGGGAAAATAATGGAACTTTCCTCCTAGTGTGCTCTAAGGAGCAAATGAGATGGTGCAGGTAAAGCCCTGAGAAGAGAGCTTGGTGAGCAGGAAGGAGGGAGTAAATGCCAGCCGCTGTTACCGATTTATCATCTTCATCTGACATAGGAGGCAGCAGAATCAGAGGTTCAGGGATGGCCGAGCTTACATAGCTGGTCCTTGATGGAGTCTAGGCCCACAGCTGGGGCCTCTGTTTCTGACTCCAAAGCCAGTGCTGTCTCCACAGCCTCTCACCTCACATCTGTGGCTTGAGCACAAAGGCCAGTGGTGTCCTGGAGTCGAGGGGAGGGTGCCCGGCAGGAGGGTCGTGGAGCAGGAGAAAGGAGGATGGTGTGTCAGCTGCCTCACTGAGGCGGGTGGCTCTACTTCTGGGTGGAGAGCACACGCCCGTGTTTCCATTCCCAATGGTGGGAGACGTACTGAGGAAGGGGCAGGAGGGCAAGTGTCTCCAGGAGGTCTGGAAGTTTTAAGGATGGCAGATTACTTATGTCCAATAGAGACTGGCCCTGGAGGCATGGCCACTTGCTGTCTGGTTTTGAGTCTGTACAGAAGGCCAGTGACAGCCCCAAGTGCTTACCCAGCTGCTCCTGAAGTCCAGCCACAGCACAGGTCCCTCACCAGCTTTTTAGAGAGGATATGCATCTCTGTTCTTGTTCCCTCAGTGAAGCAGTGAGGGTGGGTCATGAGAGGTTTCCTGGAGGATCCAGAGGGGAGCATTGATGGTGGGTGGTGCCAGCCTCCTCAAGGTGCATGTCTGCGGCCTGTCACCGCTGGTGAGCGGGGAAGGCATCTCTTTAGCACCCTGCTGGTGGCCAGAGCCTGGCCTCTTTCTGAGAGCCTCCTTGCCGACTGCCTCATGCTCCAGCCTGTCATTTTCTGTCTCCTTTCTCAGCAGTGATAGTGACAGTGAAGGGGATAATCCAGAGAAAAAGAAACTGCAAGAACAGCTGATGGGTAAGAGGCTTGGGGTCTGTGACAATGGGAGGGGGGCAATGGCAAGGACCCCCTGGTGGGTCGGGCTCCAGTTTGAAGGCTCTGCCTCCCTCTTGCAGGTGCTGTTGTGATGGAAAAGCCCAACATTCGGTGGAATGACGTGGCTGGGCTGGAGGGGGCCAAGGAAGCCCTCAAAGAAGCTGTCATTTTACCAATTAAATTCCCACACTTGTTCACAGGTAACAGTTGAACTATTTTAGGGCCAGATGCAAAGATACCAAGCTTCTGAGGGCACTGGCTCAGGGACTCCACTCTGAAGGTGTCCAGCTGGCACATGGTTCCCTTTGTCCTTAGTGGGCAAGGTTCCCGGCCTTTCCGTGTGGCCTCAGTCGAGAGAGGAGGCAGGGCCTGCCCATCATGGTCATTGACTCCTTGGCTTCTCTCCAGTGTCAGAAACACTTTTGTGACTAGAACTTTGAGTCGACTGTCCCGCTGGTGGGCAGGGTCAGAAAACATTGGCAGCTGCTGTCACTTTGCCAGGTCTTGGGGGTCATCAGCCAGGGCAGGGACCAAGCTCTCAGCTGGTAATTTAGTTCCCTTAACTCCTTTGCTCCAGAAAAAGTTGTCTTGTAGAACTTTTCATTTCTGATTGTGTGACTAAGTCCCCTCTGCTGTTTTCTGTTCCCTTCCACCAATCTGAAGGAAGCTCACTTTAGTTTGTTCTTTCCCATAGGCAAGCGGACCCCTTGGCGGGGGATACTGCTCTTTGGACCCCCCGGCACAGGGAAGTCCTACCTGGCCAAAGCAGTGGCAACAGAGGCCAACAACTCCACCTTCTTCTCTGTGTCCTCCTCAGACCTGATGTCCAAGTGGTTGGGGGAGAGTGAGAAGTAAGTCAGCCACCAGGCTCTGCTCTGCAGGCAGCCCCGCCGCTGCTGGCGGCCCCACTTCCCTGCCCTTGGAGTCACCTCCCAGAGGAGCCGCTGTCGGGTGGCAGAGACAAGTAGCCAGGAGAGGGGTATCTTGCTAGCTTGCTGGGTGGGACTGTCCTGACACAGAGAAAACTGGAAGAGAACTTGGGAGGATGAGTCATCGTGAGGGAAGGGAAAGGCACAGCAATGATAGCTGGGTGTCGATTGAGCATCCTCCACTGGGGACTGGTATAGGTAACTTACTCCCCACGCCGGCTCCCATGTCACCACAGATGGGGATGCTGAGGCTGAGGGGAAGGGAGTGATTTGTCCTCGGCCCGGAGCCAGTGAGTGGGGCTGCAGGATTTGATGCTGACACTCTTCCTCTTGGCGCCGAGCTGCCAGAGAATTGGCTCCCACCATTTTTTCTGTAGTCTCAGCCTCTCCGAAGGAAGGGCAAGAGGAGAGAGGTGGTGGTGACTGGGACCCCAGCCCCGTGCCTCCCCTTCACAGGCTAGTCAAGAACCTGTTTGAGCTGGCCAGGCAGCACAAGCCCTCCATCATCTTCATCGACGAGGTGGATTCGCTCTGTGGATCCCGCAACGAGAATGAGAGTGAGGCCGCCCGAAGGATCAAAACGGAATTCCTGGTCCAGATGCAGGGTGCGTGCCAGTTACGGGTCCCCTCGCTGGCTCTCGTCCCACTGAAGCCAGCCTGGGCTTCACTGTTTAACTGCAGCTGGATTTGACTGTCCTTAGGGTAGAAGGAATACCAGAGACCTTGAGAAGTGACAGTGGCCCTGCCCACTGCCACCCCGCCCCTCCCGAGCCAGCAGGGCTGGGTGCTTCACCCCAGCCAAGCCAGCCGGGGCCCTGCTGGTGGTGGCACAGGGATGGCTCCAGATCAGGACACAGAGCCCCTGCAGTCCTTCCCACAGCTTCTGACTGCTCCTCGCAGGTATTGAGTGGGCATCCGTATCTCCCTTCTCCACAGGGGTGGGGAGTAACAACGACGGGACCCTCGTACTTGGTGCCACAAACATCCCGTGGGTGTTGGATTCCGCCATTAGGAGGAGGTGAGTGTCCCTGGGGCTGAGGGCTGTCTCCAGCCACGGTCAATCTGCTGCTGGCGGCGGGGGTGCAACCTGATCCCGCTTGTCCAGAGGCTTCTCCATGTCTGCAGAGCAAGGTCTTAGTGAAGCCACCTTCTGAAGTGCCCTTCATGCCTCTCCATCGAGACCATCCCGCCATCCACTCTCAAGTCCCTCTGTGTGCTTGGCTCTCTAGGTTTGAAAAGAGAATTTACATCCCATTGCCAGAAGAGGCTGCCCGCGCCCAGATGTTCCGGCTGCACCTGGGGAGCACTCCCCACAACCTCACAGATGCCAACATCCATGAGCTGGCCCGGAAGACGGAGGGCTACTCGGGCGCAGACATCAGCATCATCGTGCGGGACTCCCTCATGCAGCCAGTGAGGAAAGTGCAGTCAGCAACACACTTCAAAAAGGTGAGCAGGCCAGCGGGGAGTTGCTTAGAAAGTGGCACGGGAAAGGCGACATAGGCTTTCTGTGCCAGTTCCCCGGATGCTCAGTGACACATCTTGGGTCTCCTGGGGAGCCAAGGGCAAGTGCACAGTGAGCCCTCTGGCTCCAGGGGCTGGGGCCTCTCCTACTCTCCCCTTCCCTGTGGTTCCTCTTGCTTGAGGGTGACCATCTCAGATTTTGTGACGCTGCAGGACAGGGCACCGTGACTGCCACCTCTGCCACCGCTGCAGTCAGCACTGCGCTGGTGCGCCTGGTGCACCCTGCTCCGTGTCTGAAGAGTGGAGTACGGAATCACACCAAGGGGAGGAGCTCCAGTCACACGGCAGATCTCTGTCAGGTGTCACCAAGGGTCCTACTGTGTGCCTGGTGCTATTCTACGTGCTGGGGAGACACTCATAACCACAGCAGACAAAACCCCCTGCCCTCCAGGAGCCTCATTTCTTAGAGGGTGATGAGAGGGGCGTGGAGCGGGGGAGGGAGTCTGGTGTTTCCAGGTTTGGAGGGGGTGTGGGTAGGTTGCTCTCTTAAAGGAGAAGCCACGCTGGGTGATACTGAGTGAGGAGTTGAAGGAGGTGAGGGATTGAGCCTTGGGTATGCTTGGGGGAATGTTGCCAATGGAGCAAGCAGCCTTCAGTTGGAAAAACATTTTTTGATATCACTGTATTTGTGGTGAGATTTGATGGAGTTGATGAGGAAGAGGAAGAAGAAGATAACAAGGCATTTGGGCCACAGATTGAGATTCTGGACAACAGTAGCTGGAATAGCAGGCCAGGCATGAACCTCTGAAATCACTCTTGGAGCCACACTGACTACCCAGCCCGAGAGTTTGAAGGAGCCCATCCTTCCTCACACTGATGATCTGGAAACCCAGGTGTGCATTCACACTGAACCACTGCCTTCTCTCCAGGACCCAGAAATCTAAGGCATCCTGCCCATTCCCCAGAGGCTGAAGGCCAGTCCCTCCAGCCAGTCAAACAGCTATTTGGTTTCAGGTCTGTGGCCCTTCCCGCACCAACCCTAGCATTATGATCGACGACCTCCTGACCCCATGCTCACCAGGCGACCCAGGGGCCATGGAGATGACCTGGATGGATGTCCCTGGGGACAAACTCTTAGAGCCTGTGGTTTGCATGGTAAGTGGCCAGCTGGGAGAGAGGACTCCACAGAGCCTAGGAAATTAAGGGCTTGGGTCCAAGAATAAAAGTAAGCTTCTTCCCTTCTCTGTCCTGCGCTGTTGTGGCTCCTCTTAAATAAAGAATGGGGCTCTGGGTAGCTGGGGCTCCTGCCATTAGACTCAGTAGGGACCCAGGATGGAGGCCTTAGCAGTAGCAAGAAGAGTAAAAGCCAGGTGATGACTGTTTCATTCCATGGGTTTAGCTTGTTTTTTACACAGAAGGAACCAGTAATGTCTGTCAGCACAGTGTGATTTGATGCAGTTAACACACGCAGCCTCTCATCTGGCTAGTCTTGACCTCTCATTATCCGAGTCTTGCTGGTGGTCTTGCCTGTTCTGTGAGGCAGGTGTCTGCCCCTGTTCCTGGTGTGGTGGGTGTGCAGGTAGAAAGGGCTTCTGACGCGAGTTAAGAGATGGTGGGAACTTAGATCTCTGAACTGGAAGTAGGCCATCTGGAAATGACGCGAGCTGCCTCAGGAGGGAAGAGCGTCCCACCCCAGGAAGCGTTCAGGCAGAAGCCAGGCAGTGGGAGTCCTGCACTGGGCCTGCGGGTGACCTTGGAGGCAGGGCTCTTCCCACCCTGGGCTGCATGGGGCTGACAGGGGAGGCTGAGGCCCCGGAGCCCGGCTCCGCTCACCTGCAAGTGCTTGTCTTTGCAGTCGGACATGCTCCGGTCTTTGGCCACCACTCGGCCCACCGTGAATGCAGACGACCTCCTGAAAGTGAAGAAATTCTCAGAGGACTTTGGACAGGAGAGTTAAAAGCTTCTTGACTTGTGTGATGGTGAAGGTGGGAGGTTGATTGGGGTAAATTCATGGTCCTCTCCATGTCGGTGGCCTGACAGGGCTCCAGGGCTCATCCTAAAGTCACTATGGCGTCCCCTCTGCTGTCTGGCCACCAGCTAGGGAGCAGGAAGGAAGGGCTTCCCTGGCCGCAGAGTCGCAGAAGCACATTTGGCTTGGGAATATTGGCGCTTCCTCCTCCTCCAGCTCTCCTGGATGCTCACCACCTCCTTGTCCTGCCTCTTTGGTTTTTTTAAACCATTTTTTGTTCCCCTAAATTAATGCTGCTTGGATTTTTGTCTTGTTTATAAATAAAGTTAAAGTCTCCCCAAAGCATCAAGGAGTAGGAGCTGCCCGTGCTGTGGGGTAGGGGCAGCAGACCTCCAGAACGGCTTGCTAGGCCCCAGCTGCCCGCCTCTTCTAGACCCAAGTTTCACTCCTTGTGAACAGAATGGCTGATGCCCGGGGTGCCCAGCCCAAGCCCTGCCTGTAAAGGCTGAGAGTAAAGCTAAGCCATTTGCTGCCTCTGGGCCCTGTGTCCTCCCTGCAGGAGGAGAGGATGGTTTTTGTGAGCACAAAGCTGTGTAGGTCCGAACAAGTGAAGGCAGTCAGGCGGGTTTCACTGCTGCCTTTTCTTCCCTCTGAATGTGAGAACACCAAACCCAGCCACTGCCCCTGGGTCCCTGTCCTGAAAGTGGGCTAATAAATCCTTTTCCCTTCTTGAGCCACCTGTGATGTCATCTTTGGTTCTTGTCTGGGGCTCTTTGAAGGCCACATTTGCTTCTGCTAGAAAGAACCTCTGGTCTCCACTCTCTTCTCTTCAGCAGAGTAGCCAGTGGGAATATCACCAGCTGCTGCGGTTCCCTGGCCTGTTCCCCATTCAGGGAGGCCTCAGATGTGTGGTGGTGGGGTGTTTAAGGGACCTGGGCAGTTCTTGTCCAGCCTCCAGATCAGAGGCTGCAAACTGGGAGGCCCGTGGGCCAGACATGGCCTGCAGCTGTGCTTGGTTTGGTCTGCTGCCAACATTTAAAAATCAAAGGTCGACATAAAAATTTAGATCTCTGGTTTCTGAACATTAGATTAAATAACGCTGGGCCTGTGTTCCCATGAGGCAGCCTATCAGCTGCAGCTGAGCAGGGGCTGCCCTGATAAGAAGGGGACCGAGGTCCCCAGCTCACTGTCCTCATGGGCTGCCTCACTCATCTGCATTGCCTGTCCAGCCCCTGTGGCCATTTGAATGTGTGACTCCTGATGGTGAGAGCCGAGGCCCCAGAGCTGGCAGCCCTGGAAACGCTGAGGGCTCGGAATGGCAGTAGAGGCTGTCACATGTTTTCCTCAGACATATGAATACCCAGAAAAGGCTTGGCTTCCAGTTACTGTAGCTCTCCTCCCCTCCACACCCCAATGTTACTCCTCTAGATCTGCAGCCAGAAAGGTCCAGAACTGATTCCCTGGCCGCTTCTTGATCACGTGGGCCTTTGCCACTCACTCGGGAGTTCCCACGTTAAGTTCTTGATTAGTTCTGTGCCCTCTACCACCAATTACTGTTTGTAAATGCTGGACTACAAGCTGCCCACTGCTTGTACTTCATTTTAGTTAGTTGTGTTTTCTTATTCTACTTCCATTCACTGTTACTTGAATCGGGAGATCCTTGCCCCTTTTTTTCAAACCTACTTTCTCATTTCTACTGCTTGAGCATCTTGGCAAGTCACAGAGGTTAGCAGAAAGTTTAAGGCTGCTGTGATTCATTGTCATAGCTCTAGTCACAGCTTTCACAGCTGCCCTGCCTCTCCATTTCTCTCTCTGCCACCAGGCAAGTGAGTGTCCTGTTCACACTACATTGATGACACAGTGGCCTCACTCTATGCTCAATATGACCGCATATAAGAATTTCCTCCTGTAAATGCTTACTCTGAAATTCACTTCTTCCTACTTGAAAATTCTATTCTAAAACTTCTGCCTACATTGGCAAGTTGACTTCTAAAACTTTTTAAAATTCAATTTGCTGATTTGTGTCTGTTTTGCAGCTAATATTTCTGCCCAAGGTAGGAGGGATTTTTTATTGGAAATATAAGGATTTGTTGTCTTTGGATTGTAGTGTCTTGAGTTAGTCGATCACATCTTTCCTTGTATGTGGATTTGGTTACAACAGTGAATCTCATATATGTCAGCAGCACAGAGTCCAGGCTTTCTCTGAGGTCCACTCTGAATAATCCCTTATTCTTGGGCCTTGATTCAGGATCCACATTACAAACGTATCACTAAGGACTGTTAACCTCAGAGCACTGTAAGGAATCATTAGAATGTTTCGATGCCACTCTGTAAGAGCTTCTGAACACTGTCCAAAGGAAAGGAGGCTTACTGAATTCTAATGTATCTAAGGACCCATGTATTCAGTATAAATGAGAGCTTACTACAGACTCCCTGATGGCTGAGTCTCTCTACCTTCATCTCAGGGCAGTGCTGGGCCCTTTTCCTCCCTGAAGTGTGATGCACAGAGAGCCAGTTTACTTTTGCTTGGCCTCACTGGCCCCCAGACTTGGCTTTCTAGAGAAAGCCACAGTGAAGTGGGTCTTTCCTGGGGTCGTTTAATTACTGTTTAAACCACATTTTCTCCAAACAGCTTACTGGACTTAACTACTTGGGTACTTGGATTTTGAGGACTTTGGTAAAAGTACCTGCATTGCAAAACTCAGCATAAAAATGAAGTAAGACACTAAATATTGAAGGAAACAGGTTCCTTCACTTCTTGACAAAGCTCTGACAGTATCTTAACACTGAACACTGGTCAGCATCATGCAAATTTATTTTTTCAAAATAAGTGTGACGAGGAAACCCAAGTTCTGCCCTTTTTTTTTTGTCCTAATTGTGACAGGAAGAGGCTCATTGCTCCTTCTCAACCACAGGCATCCCCCACTTTTTGAAAATTCACTTCAAGCCACTTTGCTTTTATGAAAGACCTACCTGTTTTCACTGATGAAAAGAAATCTGACGAGGATTTTCACTTTTATGAAAAAAGGCGGAAAGTTAAAACGGCATTCAGCTTTTGTTTTGCAGCAAGCTGTTACAGAAGCAGCGTACACCCAGAGCTGCCAGAGTGGCACCGGCAAGCTCCTTACAGGGAGTGGTGCTCAGCATCAGCATCCAGACACCATCACTGAACTGTGTGAGCATCTGTGCTTTATTTTGATTTAATTCTGTGCATTGGTTAGCAAGATGTGTCCTAAGGTAACTACTTCTTCAGTTTATGCCATTCGTCTTAGGAAAGGTTTCATTTGAATGCTCTCCTTTTGTATCACAAGGAAACCTGCATCACCCCTTCCCCAGCCCTGCCCCACGGCCTCCACCCAAAGAATGAGCCCAGTACCAGCTTCCTAAGAGATCTTAGCAGAAAACTCTTCTCCAGGCCCGTTAAAGAAAGACGGAAAGCAAAAGGTGGAGACCTAAAACTGTACCTGAACTTGTTAAAATGTGTGAATACTCAAGTCTGTAAATACTGTCATTGAACACTGAACATTGTCTTCCATGAACTGGAGACATTCTGAACTGTGTTTTACTTTCACAGGTAAACTAGTGTCAAAAACAAAGACTCTGCAAGTAACACACACACACACACAAGCCTTTTGTAAATATAAAAACTTGTTGAAGACGTTCAACCAACCACAGTCCTAACCTGCATTTTTAAACATGGCTTTTGGGTGTTTGGGGACTATATTATTATCAAATCTTGGCTTTGGGAATAGATGATACAGCTTTTCTGAAATGATGTCTCTTAAGAAAGGTTATTTACTTGTCCCACCTATCTGTATACAGAATTGCCAGGAAATGTCCATTCCTTTAGAGCAGTTATTTTTCTTCTCAAGTAGAAGGCAATATATTGTCTATAGCTCATTTCAGGGCAAATATTTTTAATATCTTCCTCCAAGTCAGTTTGGCATGCTTTGGCAGACCATTGTTTCCTGTCAGAGCAGAGCCAATCAAAATCGATGCCAACCAAGTAAGACATGCCCAACTCAAAGCCGAAGTGTTTGTGTCTTGATATTCAGGATCCTCAGATGCAGCAGGAAGGCTTCAGTCATTCACCTCCATCCAGTGGATATTTGTAAAAGTCTTGCTGTCCATTTTGTCAATGAACAGGCAGCCCTGCAAGTGGTCCATTTCATGCTGGATGATGCGGGCTGCCCACCCACTTGCCTGCCATACCACCTGCTCTCCTCTAGGGTCCAGCCCTGCAAAGAAGTTATGGCCTGGGTGAGGACATGCTGAACTGCATCATTTTCAACCCCCTTACCTTTTCCCTGCCCCTGGCTGTTCCTGTTTACAAGAGGCAACATCAGAAGGCAAAGCAGACAGCAGCCCCTATCTTTCCTAGAAAAGGTGTCTCAGCTCTGCCTCTTATCTGATTCCCAACTCTGACAGGTAGGCTGCTGTGCTCACTATGGGGCCGAGATGAGAAATGACCTTCCCAAGTGGCTTGTTCAAGGGGAACAGTCATCCTAGCCCGAGGAATGAACCACATTCAACCAAATTTCCTGTGGCATGACAGGCTAGTAATGGCTTATCACCCTGGGCTGGGCAAAGCTGGATCCCATTTCTCCCACTCCACCATGACAGATCTAATTGGGGTAGAAGTGTGCATGTGTGTGAAACACAGACTGAGCGAGAAGGCACACAGCAGAAGACGGGGAGTAAGCTACCAACGGAACCAGGCCACCCTCCCAACCCCACTCCATTCCTCCACCCACGTGCCCGCTTGGGCTAGCTCTGCTCTCACAGGCGCCTCCTGCCCCATCCCATTCCATCAGTCCCCATTCCGTCTACTCCTGGGTCCTGCATTTGTTCATGCCCATAGGCTCCGCTGGTCAGCCATCAGCATGGCTACACTTTTAACTGGAACTTGGCGGAAACCGTTTCGTGGGATCTGAGGCCGCTGCCTCCACAGGCCGAAGAGATGCATAAGCTTACCCAGCCGCCCCAGGGACCCCACCGCCCCGCACCTGAGATCTGCACTGCCTGGAAGCGGGGTACACAGGCCAGGAAGCCGGAGACGCTCTCGCAGCCCTCGGGGAAGGTGACCAGGCGGCTGTCCAGCACCCACAGGCTGGGGTTCACAAACACGCGCAGGGGGAAGGGCTCCATCTGGCGGGACTCGCGCAGGCGCGGTGCGCAGGCGCGGCAGAGCGCCTCAGGGAACTCCAGCACCAGCACCTGCAGCGGCACACCGAGCTGTGGCGCGCTCAGCCCCACGCAGCGCCGGCGCCGCATCACCTGCACCAGCCGCTGCACCAGCCGCTGCAGCTCAGGCCCCGCCAGCTGCGCCGGTTCTACCGGGGCCGCCACGGCCCGAAGCACCGGGTCTCCGACCTGGCACACTCGCGGGTACGGCGGCTCCGGCGCTCCTTGCACCAGACGCCGCACGTACCGCCAGTAGGAGCGCCGGCGCGCTGGGCCCTCGAGGCCATCTGGGGCGGGTGTGGAGCTGCAGGCCCGGGTGCTGCCGCCCGCTGCCCGCTCCCCCCACAGCAGGGCCGGCCCCACGCAGCGACGCGCCCGCGCCCGCAGCCACCCCAGCAGCAGCAGCCCAGCCCCCAGCTGACCCATGGCGCGTGCAGCACAACCGCCTCCCGGACGCGGCCCCTCGGCCCCCGTAGCCGACGGCCCGCCGCTGGGGAAGCCGGGAAGCGTAGTCCCGCACGTCTTCCGGGAGCGCCGGCGACGCTCAACAGCGCAGCGCAGACGGCCTCTCGGTGATATCATCAGCTTTATTCTTTAATAACATTTCTGATCGTATCATCAACCGTTTACGAGAGTAACCGGGAGGTTCTCCCTTTGATTATGCCTTTGCAGCCTCTCCTACGCGCGACAACACTCGTTCCCTCCGGGCGCTGCAGTAAAGCCCGAGGCCACCCGGGTTCCGGGGGCGGGGAGCGCTGTTACGTGCCCGCGCTCGGCACGTCGGCCCGTGGCGGCTCCGCGGATCCCACCTCCCTGCGTCCCCCGTCAGGGAATGCCGACGTGACGGGCTCGAGGCGGGGCTTCTCAGAGGGCAGTTCCGGTGCCGGAGCGGTGAGCTCGGGGACTAGCTCCTTCTCATCTAGACAGAAGACCGTCTCTCTCTTCGGCAGGATAAAGGCAAGAGGCTCCCAGACGACACTGACGTTCACACGCCCAAGGTTTCCGTACTTGGAGAGCTGAGTGGCTGGAATGCCTGACCCAGATGGTAGGGAGAGTGAAATGGAAAAAACCTTTCATAAATTTAAATATTGATGTGTAACGGGGTGAAAAAACACTTCGAGGAAGTAACGGACACAGTTACCATATTTCAATACAGTAAAAGTCATCTTTGTGGTATGGGACAGGAAGCTATACCGTAAAGCTAGATCCTGAAAGTCATCTGGAACGGCACACAATGTAGGGCAGATGGAGAAAGAGACAAAAGCCTCAGTAGGCACCTGCTTCCCTGTAACAGGCCCAAGGAAAAGCTGGGGGTAAGTGGAGAGCAGCCACTCTGCTGGTGTGATGACTGGCTCACTTTGGGAAAGAGAGTGGGCAAAGGGAAGTGAGGGCAAACTGAAAAACATTTTTTTAAACATCTATAAACCTTTCATATCAATGGAATCATATGTGGTTCTTCTGTGACTGGCTTCTTCCACTTCACCAGATATAAACATATCGTGTGATTCTATTGAAAAGAAATGTTCAGAAAAGGCAAATGTATGCAACAGAAAGTAGGTAAGTGGTTGCCAGAGGCTAAGGATGCGATTGGGAAAAGACCACAAATGAACACTAGGGATCTTTCTGGGGGTGATGGAAATGTTCTAAAATTAGATGGTGGTAAATGGTCACACGCCTCTGTACATTTACTAAAAACACTGAATTTTACAAATAAGTGAGTTATTTAGTATGTGAATTAATTATATACTTTATAAATAAAGTAGTTTTAGAAATCGTTTCTCCACCTTTCTCTTACCTAAGGTCTGTGCTATCTGAGCTGGAGGAAAAAGTACTTGGAGACAGCGATTTATATAAGGAACGAGGTCTTCCAGGAAGGCAGTGCAGAACTGGATGAAAAGCTCCTGCTCCCCACTGCTGAAGACAGCCTCCTCTGCGCGATGGAAGGCCAGGATTACCTTAGTTACCTACGAGACAAGGGCACTGTCAATCACTGGGTTAGTCTGTTACCATCAGCAGTGTTTAAAACTAAGCACAAATGTGCAGCCCTCAAGTTTTCATGAAGAAAGTCATTCCAAACAGTACATTATATTACTATCTTGTTTAAATTCAGAACTGTGGTCAAGCTTCACAATTCTGTCACTTCACTGATGTATTTCTCACCCAGCTGTTTTTTTTTTTTTAAGCTGGTGCAGTTTCCAGTTCCAGTGGAGGAGCGCCATGAAATTATACACAGAATAGATTGTTTCTGACTTCTGTGGGAGATGGATCAGGAAAATGAAGCGAATCTGAAAAAGATTTCTACTGAGTAAGGTTTTTGAAGTTCCAGAAGGCTATAACCTCTAGAAAATTGTAAAGGAGGAATTAAATAGAGCTGGAAAAGAAGTTCCATATACAAGTAATAGAGCCTAGCTGACATTACAGACAGGTGTCATGGTGATAGGGTTAAGAACATAGACTCTAGTGCTGAACATCTTGGGTTCAAGTCCCAGCTGTGCCACTCACTGGCTCTGTGGCGCCTAGGGGTTAATTAAGCACTCTAGGCCCTCTGTGCCTGAGTTCCGTCATCTATAAAGGAGGGCCAGCAACAGGACCTACCTCATAGGGTTGTGAACATTGTCTCAATATGTGTAAAGTATGATGAACTACATGGCATGTAGTAAGTTCTATATAAATATTAGCTAATTATTATTATCTGAATTTCATTGACCCAAAAAGCTTTACTGCTCATGCTTTCTTGCTTTCTTACAGGAGGACATCACAGAAATTTTATAAAACCACGTCACAACTGCCACCTGGTTGACAGCAATTATAAAATGTCATCAGTTATAAGAAGCATCCCAGTATCTAAATATTTATATGTGTAAAAAATGGGCACCATATTAGGATATTAGTAGTATTACTTGTATTAGGCAGAATTCTAAGATGGCTCTTGTGATGCCCAACCTCTGGCATCTACCCCTAATGCCCTCCACTTGAGTGCAGGCACAATCTGTGGCTCGTTGCTAACCAATAAAATATAGCAAAGGTGAAGGATTTTGCAATTTTAATTAGCATCCCTAATCAGCTGACTCTGAATTAATCAAAAGGGAGGTTGTCCTGGATGAGCCTGACTTAATCAGATGCGCCTCTTAAAAGAGGGTTAAAGATTTCCGTAAAAGAGATTCAGGCAGGAGAGATACTCTCTCATTGGCCTTGGAGAATCAAAAAGCCACACAGTGAACTGCATATGGAGTGGACTGTCTCTAGCAGTTGAGGGCCTCAGTCCTACAACTGTAAGGAACGGAAATCTGCCACTGTGAATAAGCTTGAAAGATGGGGACCCCAAGCTTCATATGAGTCAGCCTGGCCAACACCCTGACTGCAACCTTGTGGGCAGAGGACCAACCCAGTTATGCTGTGCCTGCACTCCTAACCCACAGAAACTGATAAATGCGTGTTATTTTAAGATGCTTTGTTTGTGTGAGTTCGTAATGTAGCAATAGAAAACTAATACATTAATGAATCATTACTACAGCTGAGTCACTTCATGGATTGTTCTAGGTCCCATGAAGGAGGACTAACGAGAGCTTCTTGACCAAAAAACCTCTAAAACCACACTAAACTTCTCCAAGTCAGCAGGCACCACTGTCCCATGGACTGGTTTATTACAAAAGTCTGGCCACCTATTCCTAAAGAAGGCCCTAGTAGAGAGCCAACAGTATGTGCTTACCTTGGCAAGGGCATCCTCCAGGGCCCCAGTCACATCCTGCGCCAGGGCCACAGGGCAGCAGAGGCGCAGATCATTGAAAGCGACCAGAATATTGTTGAGAAAGCAGGCAAGGGGTGGGAAATCTAAAAGCACCATGGGCGGCTGCAGGGTCCCCGGCTGAGTGACTGGCACAGCAGCAGGCAGGTTATTGCTGCCCAGGATGGCAGGAGCCAAGATGAGGGTGTAGGAGTTCATTTCATCCTGGAACTTCTCGACCGCTTCCTGAATTGCTTTCTGGAAAGTGCTGATAGCCACTCTCTGGAAAACAGGAGCCAACTGACCCCGGAAATCAGCCCCTACCCGGCTGAAGGACAGGCCAAAGTACATGCACTGACCCAGCAGAGAATCCAGACGGCCACCTATCCCCCGGTTAAGGTCGGTCTCCAGCACCTGCAGGAACTGTGAGACTTTCTGTAGCACCCAGCCATGGAAAATGGCACTCTCATTCACAGTGTGGTCACCCATGGCAGGGGGCAGCAATGGGTCCTCGTCTGAGAAGATGGCACGGTACTGGGTGATGATATCAAACAGATGGACACGGCAGGCTTCAATGGTTTTTGTGATGTGGAAATAGGGATCATCACTGGGGATAGCAGTCAGTATGGAACGGAGCCAAGCATCTCGGGCCTGAAGAAACTTCACCCTCAACTCAGCCTCGGTGAAGACATCCATTTGCCGTAGGAAGCCAATGACACGGAGGCAGGCAGGGAGCTGGATGCTGGTCCTCAGTTGCTGAATCAGCTGGCTCAGCATGAGCTGCATGGACTGGCGCACTTCATTCACAATGCCCTGAAGATACAGGAGGTGAGTCACATCACGCTGGGAAAGACACTCCCTGGAACCCATTCCACTAACCCTGAATATTGCAAACCAACGTTCCCGCTGCTTTCCTGACATATGAAGTAGATTTCCTAAAATTGATGCACACAGGTTCACCAACAAAGATTTGGTCTACTGTGGCCCATAGGCCCTGCCTGGTTCTCCTGTCCTCACCTGCTTCCTAATGCTCTCCCGTTGCTCAGGGAAATCCAGCCAGAACAGCTGTCTTTGTATTTCTAAACACTCCAACCTCTTCCCTCCTTAGCCCACTGCACTTGTTCTTACCACTTTCTGGTTTGCTCTCTCCCCACATCTTCACGTCATCATCCGGGTCTCAGCTTAAATGTTCTCTCTCCAAAAGAGCCTTTCCTGACCACTCTACCTAGAGTACCCCCATTCCCTGGTGTATTTTAAGATACTTAACGGTATCTGAAAGGATATTATGTATTTATTTGCTAACTATCAGCTTATATTCACAAGAGCCAGGGCCTTGTCTTTGCTCAGTGTATCCCCAGTACCTAGATCAATGTCTGGCACAAAATTAATATTTATCAGCTGACTGAATAAATGAATGTATGTTTTATGATCAAGCCTGCATGGCTGGCAGAAACTAGTATGAAACATACAAGGAGTTTCCCTAAGGTTTCTGACGAAAGGTTCAGTGATGACGACAGAATTACTGATAACAAGGACATCAGTTTGAGTCCTCTCTGGGCACGTTGGCTACCTGGATGACGGGGATGGAGGAGTATTTCCTTTCCAGTCGGTGTACGTAGCCTGCAAGCTCCAGGGCCTCTTCATAATAGTTGTTCCGGACACAGGTGTCCATGAGCTGGGGGATCTCCAGGATTTCCAGGATTTCCGTGTGCCGGTTTAGAGTCAGGGTGTTCATCCGGCGATTGGAGCTTATCTCCTCAGCCTCTTTCACAAAATTCCTGTAACAATCAGGAGAACGTTGGTGGTTCACTACTCTGCATCTAAACCTTAGCTACAGGTACCAAGCATTTACTACAAACTGGGCAATGGGCTGGATGATTTATCTGATTTAATCTTCACACCAGACCTATCTGGTAAGTACTTTTACCCTTAAGGAAACTTCAGTCTCATCGAATTTAAGCAACTTGTCCAAGATCATACAACTAATAAATGATAAAATTTGAACCCAGATCTGCCATTTAACAAGCTGTGGCAAGGTACTTAGGCTCTCTGAGTTGTTTCCTCATTGGTAAAATAGTAAACAGGACCCACCTCATACAGATGTGAGGATTAAATGAGATGATGTGTATAAAGCATTTAACACAGAACCTGACACAGACTAAATGTTCCTTTAATAATAGCTATCTTATTATTTTCAGAATAATACCCTAACTAGCCTAGAAACTACCACCTTACCCCCAAGTTCCCTCAGCCTCTTAATCTTCCGCTATGCTCTTGTCCAAACTTAGTTCCTGCTAGTCTCCATTTCTTCTCCATAGCTGTCTATTCCAGGCGATTTGAAGCGTGCAAAAGCTATTGTTAAATACACAAAGACTCAAAAGAAAAAACTTGTAACATGAAAGGCCGGAAGGCAGAATCAGGGATAATGAACTGAAGGTCAAGGGAGGCAGAATGAGGCTCAAAAAGGATTTTTAAAAAACAATTTTTACTGCCACCAATGGGAGGATTTCCTTGTCAACATCCTATCAATTAAAGTTTGGAGCAGATGGCCTCTGGTCCGAACTACTGTGTGTATGTGTGTGTTGTGTATAGTGTGTATGTTTACATAAATGTGTACATATATTAAACTGACAATTATGTCAGACCCCCAAATAAGTGCTTTGCATGGATCCTCTTTATTTATTGCTCACAACAGTGCTATGAGGGAGGGACGTGCTGCTGGGTTCCAATTCTGACTTCGAAACGTACTCGTTGTGCCCTGGGACAGTCACTAACCTGTGTCTCAACTTCCTCATACATTAAATGGGAATAACAATACCTACCTCGAATGCTATTGTGCAGTTTAAATGGATTAATAAAATGCTCAGAAGAGAGCCCGGCACATGGGAAGCGCTAAGTGTTAGCTATTTATCGTAAATGTTAGCTATTACAGTTGTTAAAAGCCCCTTTAGCGCCGGGCCCGCCACACCTGCAGCTCTGTTGGAAGCTGGGTAAGCGGTCGAGCAGGCGGCCAAGCGACTCCTCCACGTCGCCAAAAAGGCAGTGAATGCGCTCGGTGCACTCGGCGCCGCGGATGAAGGTCTTGTAGTTGGCGAAGGCCAAGTCGCGCGTCTGCTGCAGCAGCTGCGCTCGCTCCTCGGCCAGGCGCTCGGGCTCGCGCCGCAGCCGCTCCAGCGCCGAGCCGCTCAACTCCCTGAGGTAGCGGCCCACATCTGGCCGCTCCCGCCACTGGGCCTCCGGGAAGCGGTCCCGGAACAGCGATGCCAGGAGCCCTTCATCCTCCACCTCCCCGAGAGCCGCCGCGGTGGCCGTCGCCGTGGCCGAAGCCGTAGATGAGGACGGTATAGTCGCTGTCGCCGCCATCTTCCCAGCAGCAGCGTCACTTCCCCTCCGGCCCAGCAAGGGCGCTGGCTCGGAATCTAGGGCCGGAAGCAGCCGTGTCGAACTTCCTGTCTCTGTGGTTTTTTTTCACCCAGCTAGCTTTCTTTTCCCGATGATCCTCCAGGCTGCGGGGCGCTGTCATAGGGAACGACTAGAAAGCAGCTAGAGAGGCAGGGTTTGAAGTTGTCAAGGAGCGGCTGGCAGCTGACCTTCCGTTTCCGCCGACTGAGGCACGAGGATCCGGTGTTCCAACCCAGCGGGAAAATGCGGCCTTTGACTGAAGAGGAGACCCGTGTAATGTTTGAGAAGATAGCAAAATAGTAAGAGCAAGCGGGGCAGAAAAGAGGGAGTGTGTGTGTGGCGGGGAGGGGTGTGGGTGGAGTGGGGCCGCCGGGCCGAAACGAGTCCTGGCGGGACCTCCAGTTCTCCTTTTGCTCTCAGCATCGGGGAGAACCTTCAGCTGCTGGTCGACAGGCCCGACGGCACCTACTGCTTCAGGCTGCACAACGACCGGGTGTACTACGTGAGGTGAGTCAGGGCCGAGTGGTCAGCATGTACCCGGGTTGGGGTCTGGGTCCCACCAGCCCCCCTCATGTGACACTACCTTCTTTCTTTTTCTTTCAGTGAGAAGATTTTAAAGTTGGCCGCTAATATCTCCGGGGACAAGCTGGTGTCTTTGGGGACCTGCTTCGGAAAATTCACCAAGACTCACAAATTCCGGTTGCACATCACAGCTCTGGATTACCTTGCACCCTATGCCAAGGTTTGTGGGGTGGTTTCCAGTCTGCCTCTAGGGAGTCAAGGATGAGGGTTACATCAGAACGCAGATAACAGTGGCGTCCCTGGCAGTGCTTAGGGTCAGTGCCGGCATATGAAGATGTTTGTACATCTTGCTGCTTGGGCGTGGTTGGGGCTCAGGGCTAGGAGTCCTGTATGGCAGCTGTGGAGTTGTAGTTATCTCCAGCAAAGTAGAAAAATTTGTGTAGACCCAGCTCAAGATAGAAAAGCAAATAGGTGGCTATGAGGAAGAGCATAGTGGGGTTCATAAAAAGAGCTGTTAAACTGCCCATTGGAGAAGCTGACTGTAGGGTTGAAGAAAACCTCCTGGCAGTTCTGCTCAAGGGGTGAACAGTTTGAGGGAAACATGCTTCTTTCTCCCTTTTCCTTAAAGTTTATACTGCAAAATAAAATGAATCACAGGATGAAATACATAGCATGGGGAATATAGTCAAAAATAGTGTATAACATTATATGATGGCACATGGTAACTAGACTTATCATGGTGATCATTCTGTTATGTTTAGCAATACCAAATTACTGTTATGCACCTGCAACTAACATAGTATTGTAAGTCATTATACTTCAGTTTAAAAGAAAAAAAAAACTTAGTTCATAAGGAAAAAAAAGAAATTAACAGTAGATCCAGCTGCTAGCTTATCTGCAGGAGTGTAACTGTTAGCATTTTTATGTCTCTTGGATTTAATTCTTTTTATTATAGTATAAAGTGTGGATAAAGCCTGGAGCAGAGCAGTCCTTTCTGTATGGGAACCATGTGCTGAAATCTGGACTTGGTCGAATCACTGAAAATACTTCTCAGTACCAGGGGGTTGTGGTGTACTCCATGGCAGACATCCCTTTGGTGAGTAGAGATGGTCGCTGTTAAAAAATCAAGTATCTTTTTACTCAAGAAGGGTGTGTTTTCAATCTGTGCGCTTGGGAGACTAAATTCTCAGCACCTTTTGAATTTCTCAAAGAGCTGTATTTTGTCATCTTTGTTATTTCCCGACCTCAATGCGTGCTTATTGAATGACTTGAGTGAATCAGTATCTCTTCTTTTGAATCCCAGGGTTTTGGGGTGGCAGCAAAGTCTACACAAGACTGCAGGAAAGTAGACCCCATGGCGATTGTGGTATTTCATCAAGCAGACATTGGGGAATATGTGCGGCATGAAGAGACATTGACTTAAAATGAAATCGTCGCGAGGACTTATGGCTGTGTGGAAGGGCCTAGCGTTTTTTCCTGTGTCTGTGTAGGCTCCACCGTCATGTTGAATTTTGTCAACTCTGTGACCTCTTCAGGGACTTCTTAGTTTAAAATTCTTTCTATTATGGAAAAATGCAGGCTGGATTCTTATTATGCAGATATGGCTCAAAAATGGAGTTTCAGATCTTTGTGATGGTGACTAAATAGAATATTGTGTTTTATATTTGAATCGGGGCTTTTTGAGTAACAGGTTCTAAATTGTTGGAACTTAGGACGGGATTAGCTTATTATTGTTATCTGTGATAACACTGTTTTCCAAATTCATGGTAAGAACTTAATAGGTTTTTTAAATTATTTATTAATACTATGAAAGATAGATATTGACGTTTCACAGTAGTAGGTCATGTCTGGGATCTTACAAATGAAATTTGGGTAAGATACTAAGAGCAATTTATTCTGCTGATTTTCTGTATGGTAGGTGTTGTGTGTGTGGAAGAAAAACTTGGATTCAAACACCAGTTCTGACATCTACCAGCTGTATGGCCTTAGATGAGTCATTAAACTTTAATAAGCTTCATTTTCTTTTTCTATTTCAAAAAAGCAGCTTAATCGTCTTTCTAAGAATAGTTTTTAAAATTAGAAATCATGATTGTAAAGCACCTAGTGCAGTGCCTGGTAAATGATAGGTGCTGAGTAAATGGTAAGAGTCATTTTGATATTGCTTATACTGAGTATTTCTGTTATCTTATGGACAGAATTTGATTATATTATCTTGGCTTTTACAAGCAGTTTTCTCGATCATTCTTTTTTTGGATGGTATGATCTCTGGCTGAATGTTATTTTTATCACCTTGATTTCCTAGAACTTAACTTCTATAAATCTTTTTAAAAATTTTTAATTGAAATATAGTTGGTTTAGAATATTGTGTTAGTTTCAGGTATACAGTAAAGTGATTCAGTTATATATATTTATTTTTTTCTTACCCCTTTCCTTTCCTTTCCTTTTCCTTTTCCTTTTCCTTTTCCTTTCCTTTTCCTTTCTTTTTCCTTTCTTACAAATCTTTACTTGCCTGACTGTCAGACTGGACGAAAAGCAGAAATCAGACCCTGAATTCAGCTCCTCAGTTTTCCCCCATGCCTTCCAAAATTATTTTTAGAATTATTAAAATACTTTTAGTGAAAAATATATCACAGACAAAATCTTTTTAAACTACCTGTATTGTAAAGCAATTTTAAAATGAATATACTGCTTATTTAAATTCCTAAGGTAACATCTCTAAAATAAAACATCTTTCAATTACAAAAAAGCACTCTACCAACTCCTGTTTTTGTATGCAACATATAGAACACAGTTTTATACATTTTTGTCCTGTTTTTTCCAACTCTTTTCCCTTCGAAAGTTCCGTTAATTTCTAAATAGATATAGTGAAGGATGAGGAGATGCTATGTGATGGACAGTATTTTAATGGTAACATTTAGTGCACACTTTAGAAATAGCTAACCTCAGGACATACACATTTTTATTATTTTATTGCCATTTTGAAAAGAAAAGAAAAAAAAAGAGCCAGGGCACTGTAGTTGTTTGAGCTTAGCATCTTGGCTTCTTTGTGTCTGTTATTGTTGGGACATTGAAGAGACGCTTCAAGAAATACAGCTGCAGGATCCCAGAAAGAACAATAACAAGGCTCTGGGCTGTCGACCACCAATTCACATAGTTATAGTTTGATTGGAGAAGGAAAAAGTCAGCCATTTTTCTCATGCGGGCAAAGTTGTAGTATCGCCACATGTGAAAGATGTTATTCTGCACCTTTCGTGTACTCTCCTGTGGGACAGAAAATGAAATACAGAAAGGGGTCCTCCCTACCCCACATCTAGTCTCACCTGGGTGCCCACCAGCACTAACCTAATTTATCTGGAAGTTGAGTAACTTATTCATACAATTTTATGGTATGTAATAAGTTGGCTATTGGGAGTTGTTTGTGCTAGTTTTGTTGTATATGAAAAAATGGCCTGGACTTTAAAAAATTATTTTCTAATGAAAAACTTTAGTGCTGAAACTAGAAAGGTCTTCCAGAGTATCTGTAGATTTACACATGTGTTGAGCAGATCATTGCCTTTTTGGGTAATGTCTTCTGCTCTCTGTATATGGTAAAAGATAAGGGCCTGCAAATTTTTTATTAAAGGGCTAAAAAGTAAACATTCTGGGCTTTGCAGGCCGTAGATCTCTGTTGCAACTACTAAATTGCCGTTGTAGCACGAAAGCAGCCATAAACAGTACCTACAGTTGTCCCTCAGTATCTGTGGGGAGTCTGGTTCCAGGACCCGTAGTGGGTGATCAAGTCCCACAGTCAGCCCTCCGTGTCTGCAGGTTCTGCATCTGCAGGTATGGAGAGCCAACTGTGATTGTCAAATGAGTACAGCTGTGTTCCAGTAAAACTTCATTTACAAAAACGGGCAATGGTTTTGTGTATCAAGGACATTATCCAGAAAGTGAAAAGATATCCCAAAGAATGGGAGAAAATATTTGTAAATCACATATCTGATAAGGAACTTGTATCCAGAATATATAAAGAACTTTTAAAACTCAACAATAAAAAGACAAATAACCAGATTTTAAAATGGGCAAACGATTTGCATAGACCTTTCTGCAAAGAAGATCTACAAAAGGCCAAAAAGCACATGAAAAGATGCTCCATGTTATTAGGAAGACAGAACTCAAAACCTACAAGACTTACTACTACTTACATCCACTTGGATGGCTATAACCAAAAAGACAATAATGTATTGGCAAGAACATGGAGAAATTTCAGCCCTTGTACAATGCTGGTGGGAGTGTAAAATGGTTCAGCCACTGTGGAAAATAGCAGTTCCTCTTGAAGTTAAACAGTTACCATATGAACCAGCAGAGTATACTTTTTGTGTATAGAAGTGAAAGCACGTTCACACAAAAATCTGCATACAGATGTTCATAGCAGCATTATTCATGATAGCCAAAAAGTGAGAATAACCCAGGTATCTACCAGCTGATGAATGGATAAACAAAATGTGATATATGTATACAGTAGAGTATTATTCATCCATAAAAAGTGATGAAGTGATAACATGCTACAATGTGGATGAGCCCTAAAAACATGCTAAAGGAAAAAAGCCAAACATAAAAGGCCACTTTGTATGGTTCCAGTCATGTGAAATGCACAGAAGAGGCAAATCTATGGAGATGCAAGGTAGATTAGTGAGGGATTATGCAGGGTTCAGGAGCATGGGGAACAGCGAGTGAGCTATAGATATGCAGTTTCTTTTTGGGGTGATGGAACTGTTCTGGAATTTAATTCTGGTGATGGTTGCAGGACCTTGGGAATATACTAAAATACTGAATTGTACACTTAAAATAGTGAATTATATCTCAAAAAACAAACAGGCAGTGGGCCAGATTCGGCCTGTGAGCCATAATTTGCCAATCCCTGGTGTAAAACAAGTGAATTCCAAGATCTCCAAGTCACAGAACTAATACAACGGTTCAAATCCCATTGCCTGTTTGTTGGTTTCTACCCGAATGAGCCCTCACTCAAATGATATTAACTCCCATAATCTTAATCTTTCCTCCAAATTTAAAATCAGTTTGCTTGGGTGTTTCTCACAAAACAATTACCTCAATTGCATCCAGAGTATCATTCAGTTGTTTTCTTTCATTCTTCTTTTTATGGTCCATCTCAGGCCCCTCATAGAAGACTCCAAAATTGAGGTACACTTGCACAGAAGCAAAGTGATTTTGCTGATTGTTTAGACAAAGCTGATAAAAACCTGTAGGAATCCCTAGATTATTACCAAGTCTCAGTCTCACCCTCTCCCACCCTCTGTAAATTTCCCAAGACATAACTTCTTCAGTGTTAAATGTGCTACTATAGCATTTTTTTACTTAAGAAGTACAATGATCTACTTTTTGAACGGAAGATAACAACCTTACATGAAACTTATTTTACTAAATTTTATTTATAATAACTATGTTTTACCAAATATTACTCTAGCTCTATACTGGATAGATAACAATGTTTCTTTCTCTTTTTCAACCTATAATTCCTACATCTCTTAAGGAATTTCTGCTTAACAAATTGAGTTGAAATTAAGAGCATGGTGTTTGCCTGCTTCTTGTACATCATTAGTGCTAGGATAACATCTTGAATTTGAAACTAGAGAAATAAAAGAAGCTATCCTGCTGGAATAACTTCCTGCAAGGTGGTCTGTACAAGGGCTGATGGTTTGGGGTATGTACTGGTGCTGGTTCTCAACTGGGGTTGCCTCCCTGTGTGTGATGGTCGGGGAGGAGCATGATTAGAAAGGTGTGGCAGTGTATTTGGCTTTTGAAATGACTGGAAGGCAATATTGGCATATAGGCACCCAAGATGCTGAATAATAATGCTGACTTCTGTGCTACACAACGCAGGGTTGTCTTAGGCTGCTCTTGAGAAACATTTTTTCTGTATACTTGGCTGGTAGAGGGCAGTTAAAACTGACTTGCACTGTCCAGGGTGAGGACAGGCTCAGTGTGGCTCCAGTCGGTGAGCCGAGTACTGGTGCTTTGTTGTAGAATGTGGATATTTTTCATGGCTGTACATTTCCTTTTGTTCTGAGTCTGCTTTATGTAGCTGGCTCAAGTATTCTAACGCCTGGAAAGAAATACTATCTCATAATAAAATTTTTTATTGAATTCTGTATCATAAATAGGATTGTCTGTTTTGATCACCTTCCCATAATCTGGTCAGTTGGAGATGATGAAATAAAATTGAGCTTCTGGACCCTGGAGGTATAATATTAGTCCCCTGGTGACTGCCCCAAACTGCCAGTGGACTGCTGCCTAATGTCCTTGGCCACTGGCAGTCAGGAAATCTGAGTTTTGATGTAGAAGGCTTAATTTTGTTTTCCTATTTCACCATCCACTGTGTGAAAAAGCCAGGGCTTTTTACATCTCAGGTACTTAACTAATTTCAATATTATTATCTTCACTATTTCCTCAATTTCAAAGAAACCCATGATTTTAATAGCTATGATGATGAAAACAGACCTGTCTCTTGGGTAGAGAAGTTAATCTGGCCCCGAGCATTCTTAGAGGTGTCTATAAGAAAACCCTGTGGGGTATGTGCGGTGGCAGCAACATGTCGGTCGTGTGACATTCCCAGTGTCCGCTGAACCTGCCAAGACACATTGAAGAGGGATAAAAGCCCTTGCTACATGAGCAAGAAGCTAGCTAAGTGATAAGATTGACATCCCATGGCCATCAACACAGTGGTACTCAATCAGGGATGTACTGCCCCACGCCACTGGGAACTTGGGTTAAGACAGTGGTGATGTTGCAGGGATAGCAGGGGGCACCAGCAATGCCAAACATCCTAACATATTAGAAACTACTGCAGGACAGAGAATTGCCAAAATGCCAACAGCACCTCCTGGTAAGAAGACATGTCTTAGACCATACAGCTGGCATGTATCAGTTGGTACACTGATTCTGGCTATAGAGTTCTTGGCTGAACTTGCTCGATTTTGACCTCTGTGGTGGTATACCAGACTTGGGTTTATTTGATGCTTGACCGCAAATAAATAAGGCATTCAGTAAGCACCTGTCCCCAAGCTGGGTCTTGATAAGCCTAGGCTGCAGTGAGCTGACTAGTAGCTACTGTTCTATTATAAATTCAGAGATAAGAACAATCCTTAATAAGTTAATTTAAAATAAATTTTAAGTTACAGTGGAGGGGAGTAAAATCAACATAGTCTGTTACTATGGAAACAAACTTTAGAAAGTTTAACAGATTTCTAAGATAAAGAACAAAGGACACGAGCAGCCTCTGAGTTAACTGCTGAGCAGACTATCCTTTGGCCCTGTGGTGTAGGACTACAGCATGGATGAAATGCAACTGGAAAACATTTACCTTCCTAAAAGAAACAGGATTGGCCAAAAGGGAAACCTTGAGCCAGTGATTCTCGTTTCCTGGAATTACCCCTAAAGGCAAGAGTAAATGTTGCTCCCTCAACTTCATAAACTAAAGCATCTTTGAAATCTCTGGGTCTGCCTCCAAAGTTCATGTGACTTTTTATTCAACTTGGTACCATATCCATATTATTTTAATATTTTAAAAATGTATTCTCCCCTCTCATCTCCAGATTCAAGTAAATGTGATGATTACCTCCCCAGGAAGAGGCACCTGGCTTGCCCCATGACTTTGAGCACACTTCCATGGCCCCCAGTATGAGAGCTAAGCCATATGTTACAGTGATTATTCATCCAGCCAGAGTTTCCAGCTAACTGTGGGTCCATTTCGTTAACAGGTGGGGAATCACAGAATAAAGATAACTAGGACCTTGTGTTCATCTAAAACCTGACCCCTTTTACAAAAGGAAACAAACAAAAACCAAGTCCCCAGCAAGGCCTGAGGAGTCCAGTTACCCACCTCATAACTGAAATAGAAGTATCCAGCGTGGTGGGCAAATTGCCAAAAGCATTCTGTGCCTCCTGGAGGGATCATGATGGCAAAGTCATATCGATCTGCCCCATGAAAGAATGGCTGGTCCCCAGAGCCACTAAGGGGTTCTGTCTTCTGGCTTTGAGCAGAGGTCACTAGGTTTAGAATCACTAGTCCAACCCCAAAGAGCAAGGGGAACATGCTGCTCTCTGGAGACTCCTCTGTGGGTGAACTGCTTGCACCCCAGTGGAACCAAGTACTTTAGACACCTGCTGGGGTAATCATTAACACCACAAGTCACACTTAGGCCAGTTTCAGGGCCACACATAGATACTGTAGAGTAGAACTGGCATGATACCAAACCTACGGCACAGGTGCTGAATAGACGCTACGACTTTAGAAGAGAGATTTCCACCCTTCCTTCGGGCTGTCATTTTTCAGTTCTTGCTTTTTGAGGATAAACACTGGGCAAGTTTACTTACAACCATGTGAATGTACAGACTCATTTCTCAGTACACGGTGGCTAAAGAGATTTTTCTCTTATTCATATCAAATTGCTAGATGACACCAGTTGCTTCTATAAGACACAGGACAGCAACTGTTTCAGTGGGTTTCTTTCTGCCCAGTGCTACAGCTTAAGAGCAACACACAGTATGAAGAGTGTGCAAAGATTTAAATGCATGAATGGAGTGAGCAAGAGACAGTGGCCAAACCCCTCCACTGATAACCTTCCTTCTACTACCTTCCACCCGACTGGATACCTTCATCTAAAGCTATCCAAAGCCCACTTAAAGACTATTATATTGTACAGACCCCCGATCTTTTTTTTTTAATTGAAGTATAGTTAGTTTACACTGATTTTTCTTCTTTTATCTCCCAACTTATTCAGCACCCAAAAGGGGGAAAAGTCTCATTGAACACCCACTGACTTCATGGCTGGCACTGAACTAAGAGGTTTATCTGCATCTTATTTTATTCTCACAACAGCCCTACAAGGGTGGTACCACTCCCTACTACATCAGAGATGAGGAAACGGACATCCAGAGATTCCAGTGGCTGGCCCACCATCCACAAGCACAGCCAGCACAGCTGGGGCCCTGAGTCAGCCTCACACTCTTACCCACCAGGACAGTGTGTCCATTAGTCTCTGAGTTCTGACAACATCTAAATGTTTTTATCTCAGCCATAATCTTGAGAAACAAAACAGCATCAGTACCTTCTAATTAAGTATTCCACCAGAATGTATTATATTAACTCTAAGTGGTAATACCGTTAACTGTCACAAGCTCTGTGTTATGAAGAACAGACTTCGTAACTGTCTTCAGTTCCAGCGAAGGCCATGTGACATCCAGCACTCTGGAGGCACGGGGTTCTGCAGCAGTCTTGCCAAGGTGAGGATGGGAGAGCCTGGGAGCACACAGTGGGAGAGGCTCCCCCGCTGATGCGCCACCACTGCCACGGCCCTAATACTGCTCGTATCGTGAGCAGTGACTTAGGCTCAGCAAAACAGTCATCAGTTCATGGTAAGTTTTATAGTTCTGTAGAAGCTGCAGGCAGTTTTACGTGCGTACACATTTCAGTGACACTGTAATAAAAACAACACTGAAGTTATGCATCACAGTGTCACTCTTCTACCTAGAGAGCACCATCTAGTGATGGGAGAGTTGAGGGGGAAAAGCTTCTGGATCCTAAAGCTTGGTTTGCTGGGAGACCCCAACTAGCTACAACCAGATCGAGTGGAGATACGTTCTTACTTTATCATGTAGTTTCATGATATCATTTGGGGTTAACTGTTCAAAAAACAGTAGTACCAAACCCCCAAACACGTAGTTATTAAGTAATGAGGCTGAACAAAGTTTCCATATTTTAAACACAGGATGAATTTTAAGATTTTAGTACTTTTTTACATTGTGCCTTTCACTCATTCAAAAGTGAGAAAAAGGGAATTCTTTTATCCCCAGAAGTATGTTATATGAGGAAATGGACAAAGAGGAAACTTCCACATCTTTGTCCTGCACAGCCTCCAAGGATTAGAACATCCAATACAGTTGGACATCAGTTTCTTAATGTAGACAGTTTAGCAGCTAAGCTTGTTCAACATTTTGCTACCTCCATCTTTCCAGCTGCAATTAAACAGCTACTTAAATTTGAGAGAAGCAAGGCTTTAATGAAGAATGCTACAAGTTACGGACAGTAATTAGTTCTCATATTTTAAAAAAAGATTACAGAAAACACTTTACTGAAATTCTTGTTTGCTAAAAAGACAGTCTTTAAGGATGTCTGAGAGAGACAGCAAGCACAACACAGTACAAAAGGAGAAGGGAATGTTGAATTCCAGTGCAAGACACTAACACGGCACAATCAGGGAATCAGGCGGAAGCAACCATTTCACAAAGAATGGAATTAGGCATTTATACTCAATCAAGATTTTTTTTTAAGCTTTAAAATTCCAGCATAAAGAAGGGAATTGGAAAGAGGGGGTGGGAAGGAGGGACTAAGCTTATCTACAATCACCATTTTACCAAATAACAAACTGTTTCAACCACGTGAGAAGTGGAGGTTAAACCTGCCTACGCAGCCCAGCAGATGTGAAGAGCAAATGCCAAGGCAGTCAGGTCTAAGTGCTGATGTCACAACTGGCTAAACAGTTTTTAAAGGGACTGTCCTTTTACCAGGGCTGGTCTCTCATCAACCTGGGCTCATGACAGACGAAGTTCCTTTGCATTTGCATCAGAAGGCCAAAGCTTTACCTGGAACAAGTTCACTCCAAATAATGCTCAAGCTGCTGGTTTTAACAGGTCATGGAGTCAAAAGTGGCTCCTAATAGACTCCACCATTTCCTAGGAGAAGGTTCTACGGATTACTGGGGATTTAAATTCAAGCAAACTACTAAAGAAGGGAAATACTAATGGTATTCTGGCACTGTACAAGCTATGAGCCTGTCATCTCTGCCAAGGACAGGGGGTGGACTTGGCTTTGTTTCTCAGCTCCATGATCTCCAACAGTGATGAAGTGGAACTCGGACCTCCCCCACATAGGAGGAGGATGCCCAAAATTCTCATCCCAGCCCAGCTTCTGAAAGAAACAGCAGACTACCAGGGGCTATTATTAGGAACCATGCTCCTGTGAATTCTGTGGAAGTGAAAGCCTGTTTCAGTTCATGCCAAGTCTTTTCATGGTCCGCCAGCGATCCTTAATCATCACAGCTGTTCGGTTAACAAATGGGTAATTTTTAGAAATGGCAGCCCAGTTTCCTTCCCCATATTTCTGCACTCCAGCCTTGATCCACTCGCTTTCCTCCACGGTCCACTTCTGCAAACAAACAAACAAAAAACACACACAAAGGATTTATCACAACCTGTCTCTCCACTTACTCACATTTGCATACAATGAAGAGGTAAACTGGATCCTAGGAAAGTAATCTGAACCCAGAGGAAGGGTTTATATTTTTAAAACATGAGCTAGATAATAAGTTAACACCATGGATCTGGACATTTACTAATTTTCAGTGGCCTGCCATTTCAACCTCAGTAATCACTTCTGCATTCAAAACTTCAAGTGTGTGTGGTTCATGGTCAGGAAATGCATCAGGTTTCTGACCTTCTAGATTTTTCTTCCAGAGAGTTACTATTATTTTAACTTAGTTTGGATTATCCAAAAATCACAAGTAAAATTTTTTACCAGGGGCATGGGTAGTCTATGCTTGTGAGATGTGAGTACTTATTTTAACTCTGTTCTACCCACACAACCAGAAAAGAGAAGAGAAGAATTTTAAATTACCTGCTTTTTTGTTACATTGGTTGCACTCTCTTCATCTGGTGCTGCTGGAAAACATTAAAAGTAGACTCATTTCAGAGTTCACCTTTCTGAGCAGCACAAACCACACACACACAAAAAAAGACATAGAATGTCCCCAAAGGGAAAACTTGATTCAGATTTTACAAACTGAGAAAAGAAAGGACATCACTAAAGGATACTTTGTTTTTGTTCTTTGCTTACAAGATACCAGTCATTTCTGCCCATGAGAATCTGCAAAGCAAATACTTTACAAATAGGCATTTAATATATGTTGGTTAATGATGGATTTCAGGCTCTTTAAAAACCAGTATCATTTGCTAAACTTACTGAGGGACTGTGGTATTTAAAATCCCAATACATATAAATATGTATATACACACATACATATGCATATGTAGATAATATATGTGTGTGTGTATATATATAATTTCTGCTTTATAACCCCGTGCTAACCATTGCTTTAAATAAAAATTTTACTGTTTTCTGAATTTTTAAATCCCTGATCATTTTGGTTCGAGTCCTCAAACAAAAAGAATGGGGTAATAATTATTGCTTCCCAGTTACTGCCTCCCACTGCAAAAGACCATGCGAGAGCTGCTCAAACTCTTATGCTCTCACCATGTGGAAATAGATCAGGCCTCAAAAACATGGACCAAGATAATTTTTTAAAGGACCAGAGGGCTACAGGAGGGTATACAAGTATAAAGGACATGCTATTTCAAGCCAGAGAGAGCCAGATTAAAAGCTGCAAGAAAAGGCAAAGTTGTATAAACGTGAAACTTGCTAGTGCGTCTGGCTGAGCAGATTTCACTATCCCAAACAATGCTTCCTAAAGAGTGGAGGACGGTGAGTCAGGAAAAGGGATACTTACAGGAGAAGACTATTTATTTTTAAATTATGGAGTATTTCATACTGGAGTAGAAGCAGTTTTCTAAAACTGACAAATTTGGACTGCAAAGGAAGCGGATGTTTTCTAAAACTTATATACTGTTTTTTAAAATACTTAATGCCACTTTTATAGATTTTGTTTCTTCCACCATTTTCTGTGTAATCTTGATTTTGCCAACTATGTTTTTGCCAATGAAAGGTAATTTTTAAGGATAAAACCTTTAGGACTGGCAAAGGATTACTGTTGTTGCTGTGTTACAGAAGTCTTCAGAATCTTCCAAACTAAGGTTTAGCACGTAGATATTTCCATTAGAGCGCAAAATATGTGGCAGGAGAGCTCCTAATGCAAATGCTATGAAGTTTAGTATTAATTAAAGAAAAGTCTCATCTTAGAAAAAACATTTATACATAGAAACTGGTAAGAGATTATTTAAACAAGAAATGTAGGGAATGACCACCACTACCTTTTCTAATTAAAAGATTTTAGGAAGAACATCAACTACAATTAAATACAGGATTTATTCAACCAAACCAGGAATTTTCATAAAAGTGTGGCTTTGATAGTCTCCCTTGTTTAATAGGAAGAGACACAAAACTGATTCCTCATGAATCATGAGGAGGAACTTTTAACCTTCTGGTTTGGAGCCATGCAGTCTCTGGAACGTGCATCTGCACTTCAGCAGGCGTCAAGGAGAGACCAACGAGGAGCTCCTTGCTTACCCTGAACTTGAAATAGTTCGTCCTCTTCCACCCAAGTCTCTTTTTCTTCAACCCCATTAGAGTTGTTCCACTTGCCTCTGGGGACTCTGCGGGGAGATCAACGAAGAGGACAAGGTGTAAGACAGATTCATCCTAGGTAATCCCACATTCTGTCCTTGGCTCTACTTGTGGTCCTGTGTTCCTCCCTGTTCTGCTGTGACTACGTTCGAGATTCACCTACACACAACTCCCAAATCCTGACCTGGCCAGGCATCTCCATGTCAACATCCCCCAGGCTGCAGGACCAGCCTTCAACTCAGCACTGAACACATCACCATCCCCCTCCAAATTCTGTTCATTTTCCTGATTTTTCTTTTTTCTTTTTTTAGTTTGTTTGGTTTGGACTCTTTTAAAGGTTTCAGCATTCTTCTAACCTAGAAGCTGCCAAGCTCCTTCCTCTCCTTCACAGACATGTTCCTATCTCTGGAGTGCTCTCCTTTCCCTCCTCATTCCTCCAGTCCAAGTCCATGGTCCAATACCTTTTACCAATATTACACTAGCCTCTCGACTGGAGTCTCTTCCCCTAGTCCCTTCCTCTTCCAAAGCCACCTGAACAATTATCCTAAAATTACCACATCTCTCCTCTGCTCAGTGATGGCTTCTCACTGCCTACACAATGAATCTAAAATGCCCATATGGGGGACCAAAATCATCCTGTTTGGCCCCAGTCGATTTCTCACCAGTGCCTCCTCTCCGCACCAGCACCCCATCACCCCTCCACCCGCACCCCTCCAACAGCAGAGCCATGCCCTTTGCTCCTCCTTCCTCCTATAAGCTCTGTGCTTTCCTTCCTATTTACTGTTCTCTGTACTTGGGATTCTCTTCCCTGTCAAGTGAAATCCTGCCCATCTTTGAAGGCCCTAATTCTCAATGAAGCCTGCCCAACACATACAAAAAGTCCCCACTCCTGTGCCCTTGTGGAAGTGCTTCCACTTTATTACACAGCCGTTTCACACCATGCTCGTCACCATAATAAGCTCCTTGACAGCAGGGGCTATATCCTCATCTGTCTACTGCTAACGCCTGGCACAGTACACACACCCTAACAGAAGCTGGAGAGATATTAGCTAAACTAATAATGAGATTACCAAAGAGCTGCAAAAGAATTACACCATCAAAGACTAGAATAGTAAACAAACAAAAATCATTCCTGTGAACATAAAATCTGAAGTACTTAGGTGTAACCAAAACAGTCCTAAAGCTGAAAAATAATCCAAAACCCATTGTTATATAAATGAAAATTACAGTCAAGTCTTACAGAACATAGTACAAATCTGACCTCAGAATTATAACATCCTTTACAAATATGGAAAGTATCTGAATTAAGTTTTGAAGAACTTATATAGATCAAAATAACGTGAAAAACTTGACCAAGAGAATAGAAACTTGTGTCTCCTTCCCTACTATGAAACAAAATTTATTTTTAAGGCTGTCTGGATATTTTGCAAATGAGTAATGAAGGCAATTTGCTTAATAAGTGCAGACTTGAAAAAAATTCCTTGAGTGCCATGAGTTTTCTATGAAATTACTGAACTAAGTGGCCGAAACAAAGGGTGGACTACTTACTTTCCTTTGTTTTTAAATTGGATCGTATTCCCAAAAGTGTTGTTTCTAAGAATAACTAATTTGCTTGAGACAAAGTAAAAAAAAATTTTACGTTTTTCCTTCTCAGGATATTAACTGTGTTAATTACTATTCATAAATAAAAGTCAGGATTACAGTCTTCCGTTTATTTATCCAAGTGCTGGGATAACTGATTTTAACCCCTGAATCCATCATTTTCACCTAAGTATCTGTTCACTCTTCCTGCAGACAATGTTTTCAAATGACTTTGGTAACCTTCTGCTCCTCTGAACTTAGCATAAATTTATTATGTATCTAAACATTCTGGTATTTCCTAATTTCTCATGTTGTGGAAGGGGCTGAGATCTGGTTCTTGTCTTAACTGCTAGGTGGCTGTGAGGTCTGGGCAAGTCAGGTCACTTCTTGGTTTCTCGCGCGCCTGATTGGTGACGTTAGAACTTCATGGTCTAGAGGGGTTGGCAAACTACAGCCTATGGCTACTGGTTTTTGTACAGCCATGAACTAAGAATAGTTTTACATTTTCACAGAGTTGTAAAAAAAAAAACAGAAAAGAATATGCAACAGAGACACAAGGGGCTGACAAAGCTAAAATATTGACACTTTGCTAGCCTTTTATAGAAATAAAATCCAGTAGTCGTAGCCCTGCTCTCCAGGTGACAGACCCTAACCCTGCCTTCCCCTCCTCCAATTCTACAGGTCCTGATTGCTGTCTGGGCAGCAGTTTCCAGCCACCTTCTTTCCCTCACTGGCTGTTCAAAAGCCCTCAGTGGTGTCTCATCAGGGGCCTTCAGATTAGTTGTAGTAGATTTATTTTGGGCAGTTAGAAAAGCAGATTAGAGAGCATTCCCCTGCCCATTCTAATTCCATAGTCAGGAGCCTGGGAATATGTATTTTCTAAACATTGCACAGTTGTGATATGAAGCTTTTCCTGAGAACCCCGCCTGATAGACTATAATAGACACTCAAGATCTGGCCCATCACCCACCTGGACTTTTCTCCCACACCCTCTGTGCACTGTATTCTCCCGCTGTACAGGCTATTTTCCGGCACACACCAGGCTTCCTCATGCCTTAATGCAAAGGGTTCCCGCTGCCTAGAACCCCACCTCCCTACATGCTGGGTGACCTCCTACTCACTCTTCAAGGCCAGCTCAACATTTGCTCCACCCACAACTCTGCTGAGCAGGCTCAGCTCTTCTTCCCGGCAGCTCTCAAGAGCACCTCACATGTGCTTCTTCTAGAGCTGGTGTTATGGGGTCCATTTTTTCTGTAAAGGGCTGTATAGTATCTTCAGCTTTGCAGGTCTTAACTGTCTTTGTTGCAAAATACTCAACTCACTGTAGCATCAAAAGCAGCCACAGACAATACATAAATCATGGGTGTGGCTGTGTTCCAATTAAACTTTATTTACAGAAACAGACAGCAGGTGGATTCAGCCAAGGAGCCATAATTTGCCAACCTCTGCTTTGGGGTACCCATGATACTTCATACACTTGATACATGAGTGAGGTATATATGTCTGAAACCTTCACATACCCTCCCATTTACAAAACCACTGCAGTCATGTACCCTCTCCAGTTTCCTCATCTGTTCGTGGGAGCAATACCTATACTTCACAGGATTGCTGTGAGGAGTAAAGGAGATCATGTATCAAATGAGAACAAAAGAGTATTGAGCCACTTCTGCGTGCCCAGCCAATGACTGACTCACTTCCAAATGCAGGCAGTGGTGCATATAGTGCAGATTTGCACTCCAGTATAAATCACTTATCAGATGCCACAGCCCCTCAGGACACCTAGCACATGCATGCCAGGGCATAGGTCCCCAGGAAACAACAGAGAGCAGTAGTAGAGAAGG